TAGAATATGCAGATTGTCTTTCTTCCATTCTCTCTTGCTCCAAATCAAAGATATCTCCCCTGGTTCAAAGCCCGGCGCATGTTCCAAACGCTGGGCCGTCGAAGAAAATCACTTATGGCTGGCTTTCCAGTTGAACTGTCATGACTAAAAGAAATGAAGAGGTTGGGAGGAGGAGGAGGGATATGAGGAGTGCTGGTGGAGGGGGTGTTGAAATGGGGCCTGTGTGCGTGCATGCATGTGTGTGTGTGTGTGTGTGTGTGTGTGTGTGTGTGTGTGTGTGGGTGTGTGTGTGTGTGGGTGTGTGTGTGTGTGTGTGTGTGTGTGTGTGTGTGTGTGTGTGTTGGGGGGTGTCCTTTTGATCTTTTTAGGGCAGCAGAAAGAGAGTGGGTGGGTGGGGGGGAAGGTGGGGCGTTGCCTGAACTGGCAAACACATTTAGCTGGTAATTGTTTGGATCAGACTGACAGTCAGTCTTGGAAATGCATGGACAAACAACAGTTTACAGCTCCAATTGGAAAAGTCAACAGGTCCCACATAAGGCTTGTACATAAACAATGAAATTGTGGCAGAGAAGCTTGGCTTTGATCAGCTGTTTGCATTTCAATTATCCAGCCCCGCTTGGACCACTGGCTTTTGTTAACGCTGCTGAATTGTTTCTTCAATTTAATGAGCTCTCTTGTCATTTCTGATAGCTGATCCGTCCGTCTTTTCTGGCCTGTAGCCAGTGTACGCGAATCATCCTCAGAGGCAAATTTCTAGCTGAATTCAGACTAGTACATTTTTGTGGTAAGTGTTTTTTCCTGGATTAGGGACAAAATGAAGGCAGAAAAGACCAAAGGGGGTTAAAAAAAAGGAATTATTTGAACTCGTGCGTTAAATTGTTTATTCCGACATTCAGTTAATCATCTAATTAAAAGCAAAGACGGACTTGGTTAGTACTTGGCGTAAGGAGGGATTTTTTTCAAATGAAACATCTCAGTCATTGCTGTTTGGAAGCATTTCTCTTCCATGACAACCTAGTTAGCACCAACCAGCGCTGATATTTGCATCTTCATCCGTGTTTTGTGTAACCCGTCCGTGTTGTACGTGAAGTGAAACCCACGCGTCTTCAGTCATTTTTGGTTCCTGGTGTCATCTTGGATACTCATCTCAACGTTTGGCAGTCATGTCAAATCCTTTTCTGTGCAAAGGCTCCTTACCTGGAGAACTCAGATAAAACCAGATGAAAATCAATATTGATCAAAATTGGAAGCATTTTCTGCAGGGAGGACCGGATTTGGAGTAATGATTGATTGTCACAATGTTTTAAATGAATTTGATGAAAGATATAAAAAGCCACGTTTTTAATTATGTAGCCATATTTTAAACTTTCTCTGAACTCCCCTTTTTTTATGTAGTCATAAATCAGACATAAATGTTGAATTTAGTATTTATACAAACGTTGCTTCTCATTTAAAAAAAACTAAGTGAATTTAATATCATCCAGTAATGGTTTATTTATGATTACTAAATTGTTTTGCCTTGATAAAGACACAAGTTGTGATTCATTCATTTTGCATAGATAAAACACATTTAACATGCTAAGTTAAAAAGAAGCTGATTTTAAAACCTAGTTGAAAACATTTCCTTTCATTTGTATTCATCATAACTCATTTAATTTCTTTCAGCATAAATAATAATATCAACAATAAATTATATTTGTGATTCCCCTTTTATGTCGCAAATTGAAATCATAAAGGGGCAAATAACTGATGAGCTCCAATTCTTGTTTGACACAAGAATTGGAGCGGAGCAGTGTCTGTATTTCTTGCTCCTCTTTCGTGCTGAAAACCAATAAAAACACGTTGAGCAGACGACAGCAAAGAATAAATTGACCAGAAATATCACAATCAGAGAATCCCAAGTCTTTAAGGACCAAACAATAGTTCCCCGCTAACACCCTCATGTTTCTGAGTGCTTCACAGTGAACCACAAGTTGCCGAAAGCTGGAAGAGGTGCTTTTTTTTTTTTTTTTTTTTGATGAGGGCGGCTTCTGTGTCAATGTGAGGCATTCAGGGCCGGTTTAGGGAGCCAGGGTCGCGTTCTCTGGTCACCGCTGCTATTCTGCAGCCTCCGCAGGGGAGGTCGAAGGTGGGGGGTTAAATTGCTCCGTACGCAAATGAAGAAGGTAGCTCTGTTTGTTTATTTGGGGTTAAGTACGACGGTTGGGGATCAATAAAATGGATGAAAGCTAGTTTACACCCAGTTTTCAGCACCAGAATTGCTCCACATTTGCATGGCAGCATTGGCGACACAGAAGGTGTGATTTTTCCCACAACCCAGTTCTCCTCTGAGGCTGACTTTACTTACACTTACTGACACTGTGGGGGCCATTATGGCCACAATGACCCTATTTAGGGCCACCTGATTTTACTCTCAAGCTGTCTACAAACCTGTTTTCCGAACACCCACCTTTAAACGCGCGCTTCGTCCAAAACTCCACCTCGTATTTCAGACTCTATCACACTGGTTATTGTTGCTGTATTTTCCCGTACTCGTCGGCAGTCGTTAAATTCCTAAAACACTGACATGGATCTGGTCTCAGTGGAAAATCCCCTAGTTAATCTAATGTGGAAGGACTTAAGTGGATTAATGTCAAGTGTTGTCAGGATTGTTTGATTCAGAGCTTTCAGCTTGGAAGGCCTGTGATAGTTGACAGGTTTGTTTCACTCTTCCCTGGAAAGTAAAGTTGTATTATTATAAATATACATCACAACAAAACAAAACTCACAGAAATCTCCAGCAAGCGCTCTTCATCAAAAATATTTACATGTATTAATGCCTGAATATCAATGTTTATATTAAATACCTCCTTCAGACTATTGAGCAGGGGTGAATCCAGGAGGATTTGAAAGAGGGCTATAGAGGGGCTCAGTGATGATCTTGGGGCGTCACACCAAAGTAATATTTAAAGTGTAAAATATGCAAATGGTAGAAGTCACCACAAATGGATACAAATTGGAGCCATCCGAGTAAATTGTTTCAAAAATGTCCTTCATGACACTTTTTCTGTATGTCTGTGAATGACTTTTCACTGCATTTAAACACGTCTAATCATTGTCTTGTTTTCACTGTGAAAGAGTTGCTTCGAGTAGCTATAAATGAGTACAAACCGAACCTAAAGAGACTTGTAAAAAACAGGTTCAGTAAGCAATGTGGTATGAAGCTAATGTTTGAAATGGCTGTGTGGTTCTATATGGTGACGATGAGCTTAATTTGGCTCTTGACGATGAGCTGGTTCGCCACATCTGCTCTGCAGTGTCTGCGGCTTTAATTGTAGCCTTGAAATCCGAAGGCCACATGTTTGATTCCAGCTTCATGTGACATAAAGTCACATGAAGCTGCTGTACGTAACTTTTACAAATGCATGCTTTTTGCATGTTTGCTAAAACTGTCACTGTGTGATGACAGTACGGCATGAGATTGATGATCCATTAGAAGAAAATCGAGCTCCTCCACATCCTCCCAGTGCTACTATTTTTGTTTGAAGAAATGCGCCTTTCCTGGTCAAAAACAACCAATCACAAACCAGGAGAAACGTCTTGGACATTGTCAGTCTCGCTCATGAGAAAGAAGTGAACAAACCATTCCAGGAAAATTTAACTTCCCTGAGCATTCATGGCAGACTATGTCATGATAAATCAACACAGACAGAAAAGTTGAGGATGTGAGCAGTGTGTACACCAGGGTGATTGATGCTCCATAAGACCCTCCTGCTGGCTCTGATTGGTTGTTTCTGATGGAGCATTGCATTTGTGCTAATGACAGCAGGACCATAGGGGGGAAGGCAAAGGAGCTCAATTTTTTTCACAGATCATCCATATTATACTTCCACGATATAGTGATGATTTCAACAAATACAGAATAAAACATACTTTTATAACAGCCATATATTGCAGCTTTAACCCCAATCTGTGTAATGGTGTGTACGTGTTCAAGCCTGAATGGGTGAATGTGGCTCTTCTGTGAAGCGCTGTGAGTGGTCAGTACAGGCACCACATACATTCAGTCCATTTACGGCGGTAAGTGCACAATCAGCATGCAGAAGGGAAGCGTTAACTTAGAAGCAGGACCTTGCTTTTATTATTCCAGTACATTGTGATGTAAAACTCGGTCCACTTTGGACAGAGACAATGGACTTCCAGCAGTTTTCATGTCACAACAAGCTTAAATGTCCCTGGGTTTTTCCATGACTAAATCCCTAACTAAAGATAGGTGAGCTGAGATTGTGGCATCATGTCCAAACAGATTGTAGGCTGTAATTTCTGCCAAAGGTGGATGACTATATAAAGCAAATGTGATTTCTTGGTTTTCTAAAAAACCAAGAAATCAAGACTTGGTTTTGTAAAAAACAAATCTCAAAAACTGTTTCTGGTTCATTTGGTTCAGATTCTGGGGATGCAGAGTATACTTGAACTATTCGGTCCGAGTTGAGAATCTCTTGTGATTGTGCTAACATACAATAATTGCAGATCCTTAATGCATTTTGGGTCTATGTCTGCGGTGAGGACTGGAAGACATGGAAGCGGTTGGTCCATCAGGAAGCTATTTGTTGAGCAACAAAAGCCACATCAGCGTTTACCTTGGGTAATTGTTAATACTTATAAGAATTGTACTATTAATACAAATCACAACAAATTGTCGATGGAGTAACAAAAACAAAAACTTGTTCATGTTCAGACAACCTTTCAACCATGTGAAGAGGACGGATACAATTTCTTGTTGACATCACGTTCCATTGTTGCGGCACGCTGCTCCGACCGAAGGTAAAGTTGATTTTAAAAAATCAATATTGTCATTGAAGTTGTGCTCAAAGGACAGAAACGTGGGTTAACCGCTGCTTGTTGCTGTGCACTGAGTAGTGAAGATTTCCACATACGAGTCCCAAGCAAGCACGTATCAAACAAGAGTTTAATGTCAGTGTCCTAATGTACATTTATTACACTTAAATAAATATTCCATCTTTAAAATTATTATGCACATCCTCAAATAAAAATATATTTATATATGTATAAAAACAGACATCAGGAGTGAAACAAGAACCCATAAGGTGAAGGGGCAAGAGGGGCAAACACATTTTGTACATGAGTCACTACAATCAGAGCAGGAAACCTGTTAATATAAATTATAGCTGCCACGTCGTCCCATATTATACTATGAGCGCTCCGTTTGCTTAAATGAATCCAGTAAAGATGAAGCGTCTGGCACACAGCCTGAACACCGAAGTGTTCCCCCCTGCGCCGGTGCTGCCTGCGCTCTGCAGTGTCGTGTCTCACAGTGTGTCCGAAAAACTCAGCGTTTCCTGGCAGTGCGGCCGCTCAGGGTCCTTCAAGTCTCCTTGAGCAGCAGGCGAAAGTCCAAAAAAATCAAAAAATCAAAAAAATAGTCTCCTCTAGTTAAAACGATACGCAACAAATCAAAACGACACACTGTACAATGATGCTGAAAACAAGACAAATGACGGGGTCAGGAAACAGAAATTCTCAGCACTAAAAAAAAGCCTGGAGTACAAAAATATATTTTTTTTATATGTATGTTTTCTTTTATGTCCATGAACTTCCTTTGTTTACTTAAGAACATTTGAAAATAGGCTACGAGTTAGGATACAGTACGAAAAAATATCTAAAGGTTCGTTTCGGAGAAGAAAGCATCATGTTTCGGTACATCAGTCAATATTTTAGTTCTTTTGTCCTCCTTTTTCTGTTTTCAGGTCTTTCTACTCCACCTCAGCGCTGTAAAGAGTACCGTGTGCGTTTAGTCCTTTGACTGAAAGGGTAGTGGATGAAGTCAAAAGGCCGATGTTGACCCGGATGGGTGGGCTGCTGCCCCTTCGGCAACCTCTTCATGAAATGCACCTCACGCTGGTGCTGGCGTGTCCGAGAGCCCTTGCGTGGCCGTCCGCAGCGAGTGAAGGCCATGTACCAGCCGTCGTACCGGGCGTTCCTCAGGGCTGTGTAGTTGTTTTCCAAGACGATCTCGGTGAAGATGCAGTCGCGGCCCTCTCCGTTTTCCTGCAGGAAAGTCATTCATAAAATCCTTGACTGAGATTCGCAGATGGGAACAACAGATATATAAAGGCTACACCTGGACATGCTACCTCGCATGCACATGAAAACACACACAGGGAGCAGATGCTACAGTCATTACAGATCAGAGAGTGATGGGGTCTGTCAGCACGCGACGACTCTGAGCACCAACTATAAAATCTTTTTAAAAATGCAAACACTAGAATAGTATGTAAATAATAAGGAATGCTTAGCCTTATAATACACTGAGGGAAACCCTGGTCGAAGTTTGAATGATGTAGCATCTTCAGTCATTGACATGAGCCGTCATGTACAACTAAAACATACAGTAAGGTGATGTAAATTTGCGCCTCTCTGGTCTACTGTAACAACCACCCACCTTTTTGGGCAAAGGGTGCTTTAAAAATAGCCAAGATGAACCCACAAACATACATCCGTCCCAAACTGCATGTTCATTCTTTGTGTCTTTTGCTCATACGTGCACGCACACACAAACGTACACGCACGCCCACATGCACACACACACACACACACACCAAGGCCGGAGTCTACTTTGACTGGGATGGGAGCTTGGGGCAGATGGTGTTTGAGGCAGGGTGCTGGGTGGGTGGAGGGTGAGTGGGAAAAGGTGGGGGAATCTGTTTATTAGCCAGTCGCAGTGAGAGTAGGGTGCTGGCATAAACCTCAGCTTCTGACACACACCAACAGAGCATCGTGTGCCGATCCCAAACTAAACTCCAATATGGACACTTGAATGCTTGAACTGCAGTCTGAATCCGTTCCACATTGGCCAGGGAACCGCCGGGTGAATACTTTGACATAAAAGTATAGAGTGTTCAGTGTTTCTGCTATTGGACTCAAAATAAAAAAGGAGTGACCCCGACTACAACAGGACAAAAGGAGGGGGTCAATTAAAATAAAACACGCTACCTTCTGCAGGCCATCATTTAACAATGTACCTGCTACTTGTTTCTTGGATCTTAAGCAGTTCACCGTAGTGACATGTTAACCCTGTTCAAGGTTATCCTGCCCAAGGCAACCCTGACCTTGGTCATTTCTCTAGTCCAAACAGTTCAATATCGACTCTCATCTAGAGAGTCAGAGGTTTTCGAGCTACAGCGAGCCGTCGGCTTGTTCTCCGTGCTTCAGTCGGGTGGCCAGCCTTTGTCCTCACCTTGCCAATGAGCTTCCCCTTTCTGTTCATGCAGATGTAGAGGCCCGTCTCAGCTCCCCTGATGCGAACTCGACTTCCAAACGTGTCGGTCTCTACACTGAGCATCGCTGAGGGAGACGAGAAAGATGAATTTGTTTAGAAAGCGATGCATTGAAGG